TGAGGATTGGCAAATAAACACGACTTGACAGTCAAATTAAACCTGAAGATCTGTTTGCTATGAATTGCTAAAGTTCCGGAAAGTCCGTTTTTTAAGTTTGCTTGGTAAAAGTGACGAACAACGTTCAAAAAGCGACAAAGCTCGTAAATGGGGGAATGATGTGTGACAAACATTTTTCTTCAGTAAACATGTGATTTGAACTCTGGGTGTCCTATTTGTTCTTTATTCGTTCTTTGCTACTTAGTGCGTTTATTCGTTTTAATTAATGAAGTGAGAACATCACAGGGAGTGGCAAATATGAACGGAAATTATGAACAAAATAGGGGAACATACATGCCGGAAACTGACAGCAATGTTGCGGACTTAGTGAATCTTTCTTCGGAAATTTTACTGTCCACATGCAACAAACTTAATGTGTACGCACACTCTTGCGAAATATAATTGCGAAAGCTCTCTTCATTCCGAGCGAGAATAGAAAAAGAGAATAGAATCTTTCGAGATACCGTGTCGCTTTCAATCTAGCGAAGGGTCGAGAGAATGTTTGAATTAAAAAATCAGGCCGCTGATTAAGCATTTCGTATGCATAATTTAAGATACCAATGTGCACTATTTGAGGGGAAATTGCCGAGGATGTAGAAGTCGTCAAATAGGATAGTTTGCTATGCGATGCGTGTGTAACAAACACATATCGTTTAAAATATACGTTTGTCAGTAGAAATGTTCCATGGTAGCAAAAAATGGATGTTTCAGTCTTTAGAAATCAGAAAGCACAGATCATTGGTTGCAAAATTTGGCAATCAATATGGGATACACTGTGCGAATGTTCATTTTTAGTACTATACGAAGATCTCGCATTGTCGGAAACCAATCATTTAAGTGTCTTAGACAAATGTATGTACGTTTGTGGAGGAATCGTTTAGCATTGTGATTGAACCTTTTGAGTTGAAAAACAAATGGCATGTCAGTGGACTGCAGCAAAGAGCATGGGGAAAGACCACGGTTTTAAAACCAAAGTAATAGTCGAATGGTCGGTAAAGCTTGGCAAATGATAGTTTGATTCTTGGAAACTTGAAAAATCACTAATGCAAAAAACGAACTGACGTGAACGGACGATGCGTGTATTACAAACACATATCGTTTAAAACATACGTTTGTCAGTAGAAATGTTCCATGGTATCAAAATGTCCAATGAATGTTTGAGTCTTTAGAGATCAAAAAACAAAGATCATTGGTAGCAAAATTTTGTAATCCATATAGGAAACACTGTGAGAATGAGTAGCACTGTTCACTTTC